GCCAAAGTGTGTGTGTGTGTGTGTGTCTCTGTCCGTGTAGGTGGTTATCCAGACGGCAGGCTTCCTTCCTTCTTGGTTATAGGATGTTTCTACGAACACGCACGTTCCCCTGCCTCGCCAATACATAGCCTTCTTTGTAGAGGGATGGTTAGCCCGAGATGCCCCGCCGAAGCTTCGCGCATGCTTCGCTGTCCTTCCCTTTGCTGATGCTCCTCTGAAAATCTCCCTCCTAAACTTCCTAAACCCTATGCCTAAGCCTTAAACCTAAGCCCTCCTAAGCCTCTGAGCCCTTACTAATTTGGCTTAGGGTTTAGGGACGTAGACCCCCCAAAACCTCAGAGAGCCCCAAACGACTACACATGCCTGGTTGTTGTCCGACAAGCGCCGAGGAGAAGCATCAACAAATCAAGTCCTTAACCCCTAGAACACCGTGTAAAGGCACCCCTATCAAAAGACCTACTGTTGATGATATGAATCCTGCATTGCCTTCAGGGACCCTAAACTATGGGAATTATGGTATATTCCTTACAATGGGTAATGCAGGATCTATATCCTCAACCCTATCAAACCCCAAAGACCCACAAGGCAAGGGTCTCGAGGGGCTCATCACCCAGAGACGCGGTGCCCCCGTTGCCCAGCTGGCCAAAAGCGCCGTAGCCCCAACCTGGAAGCACTGTCAGGAATACGGTTGATGATATAAATCCTGCATTATGCTAAGGACCCCAAACTATGGGAAGTACGGTCTATTCCTTGTTATGGGTAATGCAGGATTTATACCATCAACCGTAGTATGGGGCCTAGTATAGGGCTAGAGGGTACATTGTTACGTGCTGTTGAGGTCCAGGGCTGTGGGGTGTACTGCTCAGGTCCTAGGTGTGGAGAGTCCTGAATAGGGGAAGACTTGGTCGCTGTTTTGTGGCGTGCTTTAGGGCCCCTGGGGGGGTGGTTGCTCGTGCTTCACCTCACCGGAACAGTCGCACGCCTCACAGGAAACTCACGCAAACAAGCCCCCAATTCATACTTATAAGTCGGGTTCTATCAAGGCTTCATGAAACCAGGGGTAGTAAACTGTTTCTAAATATCCCTGAACCTTCAAGCCAACCTTTCTAAACCCCTCAAACCCCTAACCAAAAACCCTGCAAAGCCCACGCTCAAACCACTAAACCCCTTACATAACCCCTGCGCAACCCAACACTCAAACCTGAAGTGCTCTCTGAGCAACACTTCACGCTGTAGTCGTCCAGGATGGCACCTCGGATCCACGCAAACTGAGTGCCCTTGTCTGGTGTATTGCATCATATTCAAAGATATGACACCAGATAAAATATGATGCTACATATCATACTACATGAAACTACATTACCTCACTGTATAGGCCTCCTAAATGCGTTCAGGGAAACACAGACCCGGGGTCTGCAGATCCGGATTTGGATTCTTTCGGCCGCTTGGGGTTTCAGGCCTCAAGTTCAGGGTTCATGGAAACAGGACTTCTCGGATGATTGAATTCCCTAAGCACACAAATACCAAAACATCGAGATATTTGAACAAAGCCAGGCTGCAGCTGTGCAGGGCTCCCGCCGCTACTGCCAGAGCGTGGCGATTGGAGCCCAAGTCCACGGGCTGCAAATTCCTGGGCGCGGCGAAAAAGGGAGCCGACCCGAGCTTGTCCGTGCAGATTTTTTCGGCATGTCTGATCTGATCTCGCTTTCAGGGCGCTTGCCAGTCGAGGCTTCCGCAAGTCACAGGCACAGGCCCCAAACTACCGAGCTGCACTGCCTTACTTCGAAAAACTCTCAGGTCGCCCAGGAGCTCCCCCATTTCGCCGGGCTCGTCACCTGCAGACAGCAGACATCGGAACTGAAAGTGCCATAGCAGTAACAGGAAGACGCAGCCGACGACGAGACGACCACCACCACCACCACCACCAGCACCACCACGACCACCACCATCACCACAACCACCACCACCACCACCACCAGCACCACCACGGCCACCAGAACTGCATTATCAGCATCATCGTCATCATCAGCAGCAACAACAGCAGCGGCAGAAGCAGCAGCAGTAGCATCAGCATCAGCATCAGCATCAGCATCAGCATCAGCATCAGCATCAGCATCATCGTCATACCATCCTTCTCATCATCTTTGTCATCATCAGCATCACGACCATTATCACCCATTACTATTATATAATATTGTCGCCATCGTCATCGTCCACATCACCACCATCGTCATCATCAACATCTGTATCATCACCACAGACATTGAGAACAACAGCATCGTCATCATCAACATGAGACTTCATGGGTTCATGGCATTCGGAAGGCGCTGCGCATGGCAGTGATAGCTTTGCGAACATTTAGAAAATCTGATCGACAGACAAACCCAAACTATCAAGCTCACAGGCAAACGGGCAGCGCTGGAGGTGCCAAACCACTGAAATGTTGTAAGTTTCAATGTCTCCGTCTCTGCAAGAAGTACGATGCTTCTTCCGCTGTTGCTGCGGCTCCGGTCTGCATCCTCGAGCTGTTGAGACTGCTATGCTTGCACTATTCGTCCTCTTCATTCCTCTGGCCTCCCGCTGTTCTTTCTGTTTTCTGCCTTCCTGACTTCGGAAGCGTTGCTTTCTTTGGTGCTTTCGTTGTCCCGTTGCTTGCCCTATCGCCGTCACAAGGTGCGCTACGTCCAGCAGCGGACTAGTTTGAAGGAGTTGTGTTCTTTGGATGCTCGTTTCTTTGGTATGGACCCCTGAACCTCAAACCCTAACACCCTAAAACCCTAAACCTTAAAACCGTAAACCCTAAACGGAAGCTGCATTGCAATGGCACCCGCGATTCTCATTGCAGCTAGGACTGGGAGACTGGGAGAGCCATTCGGGATTACTATGGGTTCGATGAAAAGGCTCCTGTAAAAGGGATCTATGGTCGGCTTGGCTCCTTTAAAGGGGATCTGTATGGGTTTAGGTCCTTTGAAGCAGATTTACATGCAAGGCTTTAAGGGCTTTAAGACTTAGGACGTAGGAGGAAGCTCAACATGCTCCTTGCCGACTTCTTCGAAATCGCAGGGACTCCTGCTGTTTGCCAGTTTCGCATCCAGTTCTGCATGCTATGCAATAGTTGGATAATAGGGTTTGGGAATATCTCTGTGCTGTGGGCGATAACAGGCAAACCCCCGAAAGAGTCCTGGAGCCCGGTATGTTGAGGTGAGTACTACAGGAGCCTCCGTGCGAGTAAGAAGAATAGGATCTTGAGATATGTGATTACTGCAAACATTAATGTAAGGACCATGAAGAGACACGACAAATACCTCTCAATATTCAGACCTCTACGTTGCTCAAGTGCCCGCAGCCTTCTGAATCGCCACGGTTCAACCCCATGCCCTCTGCTGTCTGAGTCGCCGATGGACCGCGTGTGCCCTTGACCCAGCTGGCCAAAATCGTTCTTGCCCCAACATTTGACCTCAAGGACTTGGGTGTCTTTTTGCTTTACAGCGCCCTGAAAAAGCCCCGTATAGAACCCTTAAGGAACCGAACCCTGCACAGCCCCAGATGGACCGTCTGCTTCCGGCTCGCTCCAGCAACATGTCACGACGCCATCCGAAAAAGCCCGTGCAAAATCCTATGTTTCCTTCATGAGCACTTCTTAAATCCTTGCAAAATCCTTTTGAGTGCCGCTACTGAGCTCCAACGTCCTCTCTGAGAGCCCTGCCGAGTTGTCGTCCAACAGGGCGCACGCGTGGTCCTCTTGCAGCTTAGGCGGCACATCTCGAGATCTCGTCCCGAAAACCAAAGCGCAGAACAGCACCGAAAACACCGAAACCCCACAACCAAAACCAACGAAAGGTCGACTACTCTACTCAAGGCCCTAAGCCCTAAGCCCTAAATCCTGAACCCTGAGCCCTGAACCCTAAACCCTAAACCCTGAACCCTAAACCCTGGACCCTGAACCCTAAACCCTAAACCCTCGAAAACCTGAAAAGAAAGAACAACTGGAAAACGCAGGCACCTCGCCGGCGGCCAGCGCCTGGGCCCAGCGCCCGGAGCCGAGATCCAGGGCCGGCAAAGCCCGGACCTCTCTGCCCTCTAAGGGTCTCTAAGGGCTTAGGGTTTAGGGTTTGGGGTATTTAGGGTTTAGGGCTTTAGGGTTTTAGGTTTTAGGGTTTAGGGTTTAGGGTTTAGGGTGTAGCGTGGCTTAGGGGTTTTAGGATTTAGGGTGGTTTAGGTAGGATTTAGTGTTAAGGGTTTAGGTAGGGTTTAGGGTTTAGGGCTTAGAGAAAGTGTAGAGAGTTTGGGTCCGGAGGTTTGCCGGATTTCGGGGTTATGGGTTTAGGGTTTAGGGGTTTGAACCTCTCTTCCCTTTGAGGGTTCCCGACTAGGGGCTCCAATTAAGGGCTCCTTCAAGGGTTCCTTTAAGGGTCCCGTGGGCTTCTCTGAAGGGCACAAAATAAGGGTTCCTTTGGGAGGTTCGTGCTAAGGGCTCTTCAGAGCTTCTTTCTCGGGCTACAGGGCTATAGGGTGTATGGGGGCTGTGGGGCTACAGGGTTGTGCTTCGAGTTCAGGGCTACTAGGGAAATAGCGTTATAAGTTACAGGGTTACAAGGGTCAGGGTTTCGGGCTTCGGGCACAGCCTCCCCTAACCTGCCTTATCTGCATCCTGCGCATCGTCGCCGATGTTGTCGGTGGAGCCCGAGCCTATGTCCAAAGGCCCGGGACTTCTGCAAAAAACGGAGTTAGGCTTCGATCTTTCGGGTTAAAGGCTTAGGGCGCAGGGCTTCAGGGGTGTAGGCTGGAGGGTATTGGGTTTTGGGTTGAGGGACCGGAACCTTCGGCTCTTGCTTTGAGGGGAGCTCCTGTCTTCAGGCGCTGAAGTTAACCTCTGGGGGGAAAGAGGATTGATAAGGGGGGTTGTCGTTTTGAGAACATTGGTTGAGGAATAGGGGCTTTTTTAAAGGATTAATGCTAGAAACTCAAGTTGAGATAACGCGGAACCTGACCTCTCGAATTCTTCTAATGAGGGATTTACAAATGAAAGGGTTCAAAATAGAGGTTGAAGCCTGGGTTCTTGTTTAGGGGTTGAGGGGATTAGAGTTTCGGTAAAAATCCTGGGTTGTGCTGACGAACTCGACCTATACGGATCTACATCGATGTATGAGGGATCTACAGGGTTTTGCAGGGTTCCTTATACGAGATTCTACATCCTCGGGTGCTTGCGCACAGAAGAATTTAGGTTAAGTTATCCTAATAGGGATACACGGTACATACCAGGCGTTCCACGTTGTGGCGAAGCAAACTACACAACTGAAGGACCGACAGTCTCGCAATGACTGACCCGAAACACTCAAGCATCGCAGAGGTACCCAGCCGACCGTCGCTGCCCGAACCCCAGCACTTCACCTGGGTTTACTCATTGTTTATTCGGGTCCTTGCAAGTTTTCTAAGGGCTCTGTGAGGCTTGGGGGTTTACGGCTTTGCGGCTTCAAAGCTTGTGGGTTGTAGTAGGGCATCGAAGGCTTCAACTTCGGGGCTTTGGTTCAGGCCTCGCTGCTTGTAATAGCACCACCAAGCATCATGGCCTAAGCCATGAGATCCTACAACATCGCAAAGGGGCTTTCACAATTTCGCCACAGAACGTCAACAGGCAAATTGATCGTTGTTGTTGTTTTCGCCGGCAATACGGGCATACCACTTACAAAAAATTATGAATACTATTGGTTGTGGCGTCGGTGTTATCGAGAGTGCTTTGGCTACCATGGATATACGTCTTCTTGCTGTTGGTGTTGTTGCTCTCATATCTTTTCCTCGACTCAATTGCCGAACTCTGTCCTATAATCTTCTAGTTCCTATGCTCCTACAGTTACTACTCTCGGTTATTATAGAAGCAGGAGTCGATTCAGTAGCTACAGTTGTAGCAAAAAACACCCCCTGGAACCCCTAACCCCCAAACTCCAAACCCCTAACCCCTAAACCCTAAACCCCTAAACCCCTAAACTGTGATAAACCCGAAACCCTTAAACCCCTAAACCGTACCCTGAAACCCCCCCTGGCCGAGGAAGCCGCGCTCTTCCCCAGGCGCGCACAGGCGAAGCCGCGGCCCGCGGCGACCTCCTGGGCCTCAGCACCGCCGAGGTCCAGGGCGGGGAGCTCGGCCTGGCAGGAGCGTTTAGGGTTTAGGGTGTTTAGGGGTTTAGGGGTTTAGGGTGTTTAGGGTGCTTAGGGGTTTAGGGGTTTAGGGGTTCAGGGTTTAGGGGTTTGGGGTTTAGGGGTTTAGGGTTTAGGAGTATAGGGTTTAGGAGTTTAGGGTTTAGGGGTTTAGGGCTCAGGGACGGACCCTCAATCCCCTGAGCCAGAGCTCAGGTAGAACTCGAACGCGCTCCGAGGTATTGCACGGTGTCTTTCTAGGAGTCTACCCACATCTACAAATCGCATGTTACCATCCCATAGTATCAACGTTTATATACGGCATAATGACCCATAACCTAGCAGCTAGCGGGCCTTTAGATGGAAGCCTGATTCGGAACAGCCTCCCCCCCGCCAAAGTCCCTCAGCCACCTGCGCAGAGCGTCGGCCCAGCTGGAAGTCGGCGCCCCAGCATTTCACCGCGCCACCCTGAAGAGAAGCAGAGAGGGGGGCGCGGCATTTCTGGGGACCTAGACACTCTCCGACGTGGTCTTTCAGTCGTACGTTCCACACTCTCCTCGAAATTGCAGAGTCTGCTTTGCCAGTTGAGTGCACACTCGCGTCCTCCAGCAGAGCGCAGGTGTGCGAGGTGCCGGCGGCCACCTGATAAAAGGGGTTCCCCCGTCGGATTACTTTTTGCGCCTCGGTTCTTTTGGGAAGATAGGGCCGTGAAGCAACTCATGGCAGGGGATATGGGGGGCTTCCGAACATAGGGGACCCTAACATAGTACCCTAAATAGTAATAGGATCCTTTTTGTAAGGACCCCAAAATAAGGTACCCCCCAATTTCGGAAACCTGCAGAGGATGGGAAGAGCCGAAAAAAGGCAGAGAGCTCGCCTGAAGGACTCGCCCTCCCAGGTCCACCGCCACGCTTTCCATCGCCAGGCCCTCTTCGCCTTTTTGCTCGATCTTTCCGCCCACCAGGCCCTTGCCTTGGTGTCACTGGGACGAGATCCTCAGATCCTCAGATCCTGAAACCCCTGAGCGCACATGAATCCAAACAAAAAAAGCCTGCGTCAAAATCGGAGTCCTCTTTTTTAATCCGGTGGCCCCAGCACCGCAGGGACCCGTCCACCAGCCGGGCGCAGCTCTGCATGCCTCCAGCCACCACCTCCCAGGGATGCGAAAACGCTATGGGCATCTTAAGATTCCTCGGGATCTCAAGTTTTCTTGAAGCTTTTAGGGCTCGAAAGGGACGAAAAGTGTAAAGTTCAGGGTTTCGGTTTTAGTCTTGCGATTCTGGGTGTAGGAATCTCATGTTAAGCTCCTCCAGGGCTGCAAGGGTTCCCAGATCCACAGCAACCAAGTTGTCACCCATGTCGTCGGACCTTATTGAGGTGTGCACGCGCTCGTGGTTGGCACCGATGGGGAGTCCCTCATCTCTCCCGCACTCCCCCTCTGTCTCCCTCCCTCCCTCTCTCT